GAGAGGGAGGGCGGCGGCGGCGGAAAAGTACAGCAGATTCCTGCAACCCCCGATCCCTGTCTCAGCTGGGCATGATTGTGATGGAAAGCCTGAGACAAAAACCTGAAGAGAAAACCCTTCATTGGCAGGCACGGCTCTGTCAGCCTCTCAAAAGGCTGCTTTACACTATACATCAGCCTTTGTGTCTGTGGGATGTGGACAAAAGGGAGATTTGGCCACGATACATCTCTGCTCCCAGCATGATGCAGCTCAAAGAGGGTCAAACCTGAGACCTTCCTGCAGGAATCCACCATTCTTACTGAAAAAGCCCCGCTCGTGCACATTTGCTCACTCTTTATATTTATTACAGTGAACGTTTCCTCACGGGCAGCAGCGAGGAGATGCAGGTGATGCTTGTTTAACACTGAACAGGGCTGCAATGTTTGACCTGCATCTCCTGGTTTGCGTTAAAGTTTGGAATGAAACCCAGGCTGACCTCTGGGAAACAATGCAGCCTTTAATGAGCCCTGGGGGGTTGGGGGTGACTGTGTTTGACACAGAGCATTGGGGGTTCTTGTAACCAAGAAGAGAGAGGGTGGAGTTCAAGATGAAGCAGTGCTTTTATGACTCCTTATCGTCACCTCGGGGGGAAATTTATCGTCACCTCGCCTTTTATGACCTTGTGATAACCTGAACATTTCTGAAAAGAGCCTTTGAGAGGATGAGAAATATTGCACTTCAGCTGCAGAAGGCTTTAATCTCCTGCAAAACCTCACTGTTACACCAATACGTGTCTTTTCTCCACAACGGTTTGTCTCATCAAGCCTCGAACACAAAACGGTTATCAGGCTGTCGTTGTGCACATGTGTGGAGACGATGGCAGTTTCTGCCTTCACACTTAGAGTCCAGCGTGATCTTTGCTAGCATGCCAGCATTAGTGTCAAACTCAAAAGTACGTTCTACACACTGCGTTTCCCACAATGCAACCGCATGCCACAGCTTTCCCCTGCCCCTCCCTCTGCTGGCCTAGTCTCTTAACATGCACCAGGAGCACTAACAGCAGGATCGTGTTGCATTATCAGCAAAAGTTAAAAAAGCACATTTTCACAAACATGTGCATACATTTTTATCAGCTTATTATTGTAGGTTTTCAATTTAGTCGTGCTAAATAAATCAGAAAGATAAAAAGTCCGTCCACCCGTTATAAATGACGGCTCGTGGACACACTTGTTGAATCGCTGTCACCTCACACTTATATCATTCCTCCGTAGAGCACCTGCACCTTTACCCAAAATCTGAAAATGACTTTGAAAATATTCCTACAGGACAATAGCACTTTTAGTTCGATTGTTTATCAGAACGAGATTAAAAGCTGAGGTCAGATTATCTAAGCACTGTCTGATCTTCTGAAACACTCTTGTTAAGAATTTTTAGTAGATCTGGAATAAAACTAGGGCTGCCACAAACCATTATT